GGAAGCCTGCAGATACTACCAAAGGAGAAGCCTCAGCAGCTCCAAGCTGACGGTAGAGAAGTTGAAGAAAGATGGTGTGTTCCAGGCTCCTGTGGCCCTCGCTGCCATCCTGCAGCACAGCCTCCACCAGAAGCAGAATCCAGCCCGAGGTCTTCAAGACACTTATGCCAAGCTGTTGAGCACAATGAGCCTGGAGCTGCAGAGCTTCATGAGCCTGGAGGTCCTGAAGACCTGTGTGGTGTGTGCCCCAGAGAGTGAGGTGGAAAGCTACTGCAGTGAACTGGTGGAGCAGGAGTTCAGCCGCATTCTGCACTCTGAGGTGGACAAGGACAACTTGGCCTACCTGAACTCCATTTTTACCTCCTTCCCCAAGGCTGCCTGGAAGGCCACGAAGAGCTGCCTGCAGCTGCAGCAGAACGGGGATGGCCTCTTGGTAGCCAGGGCCACTCCTGAGGTGTGGAAGAAGGTCCTGGGAGGGCCACAGCAGGAGGAGGTGGGTCAGAATGGGGTGGTCCCACTTTTTGAGCTCATCTGTGCCTCCTTCCTGAGGTTCAAACCCATGTGGCTGCCCAGTTTTGTGGAGCTGACCCAGCAGTATGTTAGCATCTCTTGGGCATACAGCAGCAAGGAGGGCCCAGAGGGCCGGGTGCCACTGTACAAGAGAGCACTGGGAATACTGGCCAAGAAGAACAAGCGCAGCGAGGCAGATGATGAGATGGAACTTGAACTGCTGCTCTGCAGCAAGAGGCCTAAGGCTGTGCTGCAAGCTCTGCACCTTCTCATCCGTCTGAAACGGTGGCAGCGGGTGGTAGAGGTGGCAGAGAAGTTCTCCAAGCTCAGCCCTTTGCTTAACAAGGAAATATTCACCACACTGCTGGCAGAGTTTGCGCAGCACAGGGAGCTGGACCCTTATCTGGACACACTGTGGCCGCTGTGCCCCGCTGAGCTCACTGCCTCAGACATCCTCACTGTGGTCCTACAGCACCTCCCTCACTCCCAGGAGGACCCAGTGCCCTTCTCCAGTGAGGGGAACCAGCTGACTGTCGGCTTGCTCAAGCCGCTGCTGCAAAGGGTTGTGCAGCGTCCCTGTGTCCAGGATGAGATGTACCTGGATGCCTTGCAGAGCTCCACCTTCCCCCCTCCTACTCCACCCCGAGAGCACAAGATCCCCTCAAAAGCAGCAGCTGATGATGCCCCTCAGCCATCCATGGCAAGGACCTCCTCACCCTCAGCACTGTTACAGCGTGACAGTGTGTGAAGGGGGGAAGCACAACAGGACCCCAAGCCTTGGGTGCATGAGGAGGAGAAAGCTGCATCCTCCCCAGGAAATCCTGCCCTGTCTGGCAGTACAGAAGCCTGCTCCTCAAAGAGTGTGTTGGGTGGCTGGGGTTGGGGCATCTCATCTGAAGCCAGGACAGGCTTTCTGGCTATTTCGAGCAAGTGCAATTGTGTGTGCCCCAGTGGAGGAGCAAATGCCGGGTGTGTTTGCAGATGAAAGCGCTGGCTGCACTACAGGACTACAGAACTGCTCCCTGCCCAAAGCACTTTGTTTTCGATTTGTCTGGCTCCTTTGTAACTTCACTGATCCTCGAGGAATGGTGGGCAGGGGCACACAGTCTTTCCTCCCCCTGTAATTCTCTGTTCAGTGGGTTTGGTGGTGGCCCCTAGCTCTGCCTGTGGGGAAACTGGGCATGTTTTTTGGCAGTGAGGTCACCAAGTCCCACTGCTTTGGGCTCAGTCAGGTGCCTAAATGCTACTGTGCTGCAGCTCTGTGCTGCTGGGGGTCCCAGCACACATACTGGCAGCTGCAGCACTCTGCATGCTGTCTGGCTGCAATTCCCCTGAGATCAATCCTGTAGCTGTGACTGATTGCAGCTACTTAACTGAAAAGAGCAGCCTAATTCCCTTATCTCTCTATCCCAGACGGTACCCAAATTCTCTTAGCTGAGAAGCTGGCAGCAGCCTGTACGAGCTTGGGGCTGGCCTTGCCTCTCCCTTTCCTTTGTGGAATCTTAGATTATGCTGCAGGACGCCCGGGCCCTCTGTTCCCATCTCTTCTACCTTTGCCCTTTGCACACAAAGGGGCTTTGTCGGGGTTGTCTGGCTCATATTGTGCCTGTTTGCAAAGTCAGTGTAACTTGAGAGCAGTCATGCAGGAAGATCCAGGTTCCAGTCTCTCTCCGGTGTCCACTGCCTGGCCCCCTCCTCCAGGAGAAAGACCCTGGCTGTGGCTTTGCCCCTGCATTCCAGGCTGTGGTGTGAAGGACCTGTCTCTTGTCTCGCCAGGCTGCCAGAGCCTGGCTGGGATGGGAGAGATTGACCTGCTTTAGTCCTCTTGAGAGCAGGGCTAAGCATGGAAGACTCCTTTTGAAAATAAAGGTTTCTAAAGCAGCCCTGGGTGATGGTGGGTGTTTAAGTATGTGCACCCTCAGGAAGAGGGTGATTTTATTCTGCTTCTGGTGAAAAGTGGCCAAGTTCAATTCACTGCTGGTACATGCTGGGCTTAGATAGTGAACTGTGTGCCCAGACAGTCCATTCCCTCTGCGGTACAACTCTTTACAACTATGAAGCCATGGAAGCAGGAGTCTACACAGGCAGGCAGGAACGCGTGTGCTACAGAGAAGGGCCATCCAGGCAGTGCATGGCTGTGGCTGGGCCCAAGATAGACTTGAGGAAGGGAGATTTTTTTTTTTCCTCAAGAGCTGCAATATTTCCCTTAGTTCCTGACTGGAAAACCAGCATGAGGGAGCACTGTGTTGGCTCCTGGGGAGCCTGCTGCATGGGGCACGCAGTGCTAGAGCTGCCTGGTTTGTCACATCGCTATGAAGACACAGCAGGGCCTCCACCAGACAAGGGCTCAGCTACAAAAAGTCCCTGTGGTGGAAAAAGTCTGGCAAAGGGGAAGAGGAACTAGTGCAACGGTCCTCTAGAGGCTGGCTGGCTGGCTGTTGATGAGACCTTCCCTATGGTGGACCTTGTGCTGTGGCTGTGGGCTCTGCAAGATTTCTTCCCGCACAAGGGAAGTGGATTCTGGCAGCTGCTGCTCACATGAAGAGGGAACCTGGACTGAAAAGAGAGCCTGCAGCAGCCACTGTGAGCAAGTTGCAGTGGGCCATCCTCACCTCTTTCCTGAACACTGCTGTTTCCAAGGCAAGGATAAACCCAGGCCCCTCTTGAGCCATGGTTCCTGGGACTGGCGTGGTGCCCTGGAGCATCATTGAGTGAGGAGCTGCTAAGAGCAAGCCACATGCTTCAGCAAAGGCTGCACAGTAAGTTGGGGGCAGATTCTCATTGCCAGGGCTGGGTTTGGGTGCAGGTGGCCATGGCAACAGAGCAAACAAGGAGAGTCAAGCTCCCCTGCCTTCCAGCAGTAACTCTGCAGAGAAGAAAAGGCCATGGTTAGAGGTTGGGCAGAAGAACGGAGCAGGAAGGGAGCTGTGCCTGCAAAGCCACCAAGCGGAAACCGAAGCCACCAGCAGTCCTGCACAGGCTGGTGTCCCTGAGGCACGGCAAGGGAAGAGAAAGCAGGGAACACCATACAGTGGGGACAACCCAGGGCTTGAGGGCAGAGACCTCCACACGTGGCCCCAAGATAAGCAGAAAGCAGTCACAATTCATGAGGCTGATGGTTCAGGGTGGGGATTAGCAAAGGCAGAGCAAGAGACAACACTGAGCTGAATGCTTTCCAAGGGGCGTTGGGAAATCCTGCTCCAAGGACCACAAAGGGTGGGCATCCATGGGGGGAGCGGGGGCAGAACCACCCCACAGGACAGATTCAGCAGGGTGATAGGAAGCATGGATGTCTCTCTGCGGTCAGGATGGGTGCTGGGGGCAGATAGCAGGAGGTAAGGCCAGTGCAGCTTCAGATAAGGCCTGAAGGAAAAAAACAGCGATTAGAAGATCTGAAGGCAAATGGAACAAGCAATAAAGCAGATACACACAGTGGAGGGTGAGCTGGCTGGTGTGGCCCCGTCACTCTGCTCCAGAGAGACTTGGACTTTGCAACAAAGGAAATGAGTCAAGCTGCTCACGTATGTCCCCTGTGCGTGACCTGGCTTTCGGGATGGTCCCTGTACTTGTGCCAAGGAGCAGCACAAAGCACCACCATAGGTGCAGACCAAGGTGCCCTTTGCTTATTGCTGTGCATTCAGCTCTTGCCAGGCCCATGTGTGCTGTGCAGCAGTGTGGGACATGGAGGGGTGGACACTGAAAGTCACTGTTCTACTATACCCAAGAGAGGGAGGGAGGTGCAGGCTATGGGCACCCTATAAACCAGAACCCCACAGTGATACATAGCAGGGTTGCTGGAGGGTGCTGGGGACAGCATGGGGTGGTGCTTTGTGAACAGGAGGCTTTTAGTGCAGCTTTTCCCAAGGAAGGACCTAGCACCCACCCAGCTATGGGTGCAAAGGACTGCCTGGTGAACATCACCCAGCCCCAGTGATGCTGAGCAGTGGTCCTGCATTGACCCGTGGTCTGGGTCAGGACTCCAAGAGCCTTCTAGGCCCAGCACCTGCTTGTGCCAGCAGTTTGGAGCCCTCTCTGCCCGTACCCATGTGCCCATCACAGAGGGCCATGAAGTGCACAGCTGGATGTGAAGAGCACAGCCACATGCCTGCAGTGCACACAAACACCCCGTTTATTGTTTGGCGCCAAAACAATCACAGCTTTGGAAAGAGTCAGGCTCCCTGCAAAAATAAATACTCACATTTTCAAGCAAGGGGCCTGGTGAGCAGGGTCCTGCTGGCCAGCAGCACAGGCTGCGGTGGTGCGGATGGGACAAGCTGCTCTGATACCACAGGGTCTAGTGGAGGGGGGGTAAAGTCCCACCAGGTGCAGCGCAAGAGGCAGCCCTCTTCCCACGTGCCATGGAGCATGGTCATGGAATGGGAGTTGGGGGTTTCCACTGGGGGTCCCAACCTGCTCCCCAGTGCTCAGAAGAAGGCGCAGCAGACAGAGGAGCAATGTGCGTCTCAACTGTGGCCGTGCTGTGGGCAGCACTAATGCCTTGTGGCTGGCCGAGGGATTCTGTAGAAGTTGAATGTGGGAGGCCTGCAAAACCAAGGTCACCTGTGTCACCTCCAGCTACAAAAGGGAGCCAGGATGCGCTGGGATGGCCACACGTCATCCCACCCCTGTCACCCACACCCACAGGAGAGATGGTATGGAGACCCCCACATGCCCCACCAGCTTGGGGGAGGCTGGGAGCAGCAGCAGCACCCCCAAACTTGGGAGTGTGGGAAGATGATGGAGTCACTCCAGAACAGGTCCCACCTTCCCAGTCCTCCGCTGATACCAGCACCCTCCTTGGCCTGCACTAGCCCTGTTCCCTTCCTCACCACCTCCCTCTGTGCCCTGTCTCCCCTCATGCCACAGGAGTTGCCTCCCACCCCATGAAGGCACTGCCACTGCTACTTACATCTCCACAGCTTCATTCCTGGAGGAGACAAAAAGGAGGGGACAGGGTTAGTGGGGCAAGAAGACGCCTCCTGGCACAGCCCAGCATCTCTCAGCGGAACAAGGTCTCCCTCAGAGCACGCAAGGAGGACACAGGGGCTGCAGGGTGCTGTGGTCTCCTCCATCCTGACTGCCACATCTGGATGGACACGGAGCATGGGCTCCTACAGACCCCAGAACGTGGCTGCCCCCAGAGCACCACTGCACCCTCCCTGGGCAGGCAGAGCAGGGCCCCACGCTTACCACCTCATTGGCACACGGCTCCCCGGTGCTATGTTTTTGGTTCCCCCATTTCCAGGCACTGAGCCCATGTCTCCAAGCAGCTCAGCTGCAGGGGAAGTGAAAGACACCGGGGCCGCCGGTGGGGACACAAGGCACGCTGCAGGCAGGGCACAGCCTGTCTCACCACCATGTCACCATGTACAGCCTCAGCACAGGTCCTGGGAGAGCTGGGGCATGCAGCGAGGAGGAGTGGGGCAGGCAGGGAGGAAGGCTGGCTGGGGCTGCACTGGGCATGAGGTGCTGCAAACACTGGCTCCCCTGGACAGAGGGGTGGCAGGCGGGGGGCCAAGGAACCCCCAGCAAACCAGCTGCACTGCAGGGCCAAGACATAGGCCTTAGCAGCTGGAAATCCAACTGGAAAGCTCTCAAGGGGTCAGAGCTGTACTGGCAGTGAGGCTGCTGGTCAGAGGGCCCTTGGAGGGACAGGGAAAAGGACCCAGAAGCCTGGGGGGTAGCCCCAGGGCACCAGTGGCCATGGGTACATGAGCAAGCACTGCACCCTCGTGGCAACACCAACAGCCATGCAGCGTGTTGCGTTCTGTGCAGCAAACAGCTGTGCTCCTGTTTGGAGCCCCAGCACAAACCATGGTGCAAAGCAGAGCGAGCCAATGGTGGACCCTTGAGCCAGGCTGGGGGCTGCAGCCACATCATGCAAGCCAGGCTCCTTCCAGTTAGGGGGGCTGCATGCACTTTCAGCTGCCCAAAGAGGAGTTGCAGAGCAGGCAGAGACAGGCTCTTCTCCAGAACATCTCCATCCTTAGAGGCTGAAGGTCCCAAGCCACTTGTAGAATCAGCCCCACAGGCTGCCATGAGGCACACAAAGGGGCTGTTTGCACTGGGGACCCCAGACCCAGTGTGGTCACGGGGTGGGGTGACTCCTCACCTATAGACATCGGCGATGTTCATGCGGCGGTAAAACTTGGCAAGTCTGACAGCCAGGATGATGCTGGGAAGCAGGAAGAAGGTGCACCAGCCCAGGCTGAACCAGAAGGCATTCTGGGTGCAGGGGAAAGCCATCAGGGACTAGACAGTGACTGGAAAAGTCTCTTCCAGCCCCCCTCAGACCACCCATCCATCTCTTCTCACAGCCTGGCCTTTGCTCTTATCCACAGCAATCTGCTGGGGAGATGCTAAGCCCTACTTGTTCAGAGACAGATACTCCTCATCCTGTGCATGATGGGACCTCATTGCCACCCCACACACATGTGCCACCCCACATACTGCTGCCCCACTCACCAGAGAGTCCAGGATGTAGTCGCAGGTGATGGCCTCCATGTTATCCAGGGTCTGAGCTATGGTCTTGCAACGTGCAACATCTTCCGTCAGCTGAGGACACAATGGGGACAGGACATGTAAGTGTCCCCAGAACCCTTCAGCCTGTCTTCCACTTCCCTCCACCCCAACAAGGAAGGCTCAACTCACCCTGCTTTTGGCCCAGGAGATGTAGGTCTCAAAGAAGTCCAACAGCTCCTCCAGGAAGGCCTGCGTCTCCTGGGAGGAGGGCAAGCAGAGAGTGGAGATCTGCACCCCCAGCCCACCCCATGCACCCTCTGTGTCAGGATCAGGGCTGTCAGACCACCTCAACCCAGCAGTGATGGGGCTGAAAGCCTCATCCCAGTCCTTCGCCTGGGGAACCATAAGGGCAGGAGGCACCCAGAGGTGCAGGGGACCCCCAGGGAAGATGACAGGGCAGGATGAACAGCCAGATGTTGTTTGGCATCCCTGCATAGAGGGAGGTCTTGATGTGGGGGTCCAGTCACAACCCCATGAGGTGGCCCTGCAGCAGGGCAAGGCAGGCTCACGTTCTTAATGATGTTTGTGGTCTCCCTCTCCAGGAACTCCTGGGTTTTGCTGGCTTCATTCAGCGCAGTGTTCGTCTGTGCCTGGGGTGAAAGGTGCTCTCAGCAGTGTGATGGGGAAGTGCGGTCCCCGCATCTCTCCCTCCCTGCCTGGCAGCAATCCCTGGGGCGCAGCAGCTCTGAGCTGCAGTGTCCCCAGCAATCACACTGGTAGTGCCCGAGTACCTTGGGTGGAGGGAGCCTCTGCCTGGCAGGGTTCATGGTGTGGTCCCCCTCCCTCTGCCCCATAAGCAGCCCCTACAGTGCATGCTGGGGAGTCCCACAGCAGCCACCAGCCCTCCAGACTGCAGGTTTGCTCCCACCACCTCCAGTATGGGACCTCAAGGGCGCTTTGCAGGGTGCGCCAGACTGGGGTGCTCTCAGGAGGCCCCCTTAGGCAGCTTACCTTGAGCTCAGAAGCCCTGCTCTGCACCAAGTGGATATTCTCTTTCAGGCTTTGCTGTGGATGGAGAGAGGGGGTTCAGAGGCACGGACCCTGCAGCTCAGTTGAGACCATGCCAGCAGGCTCCAAGCTCTGTGGGAGCACAAGCCAGAACCCCCAGGACCTTCTCCACCCTGGCATCACTTACCAGCTCCCCAGAGAAGCTCGTATGCATCTCCTCATCCAGCTCCCTCAGCTTGTGAGCATCAGCCTTCAGGTCCTCTTTCACGTCCACGCCCTGAAGGAGCTGCAGTCAGTGCTGTACCCCAGCATGGGGTCTCTGCCCCACCATAGCCATCTGATGTGGGGCCAAGCTGGAGAAAAGGGCTGGTACCCAGCTCAGTACCCAGACAGGTCTGCAGAGCCTGTCCCACTGTCCCACACAGCCAGTGGCTTTGGGGACAGGCTGGGCCATGGTCCCAAGGTGTCATGGTCTCTCACCTCTGTGTTTGCCAGCTTCTCCAGCTCTGCAGCCAGATCCAGGAGGCTTCCCTGAGTCACACTCTGATCCAGCTGGAAAAGGCAGAGACAGAGCTATAAGAATGGAGCTCACAGGGGGGCCATGCTCCATCCCTGTGGGGCAGAGTGGAGCCAGGGCCTCCTGCATGGAGGAGATGCCTCAAGGGATGACATGGATGGCAGAGGACACCCCAGGAGCCTGCAGTGGGAGTCCCACAGCAGCAGAGGAGAGGGAGCAGTGGAATACCTCAACACATATTTGGACCCCCCCATCCCACCACCAGGGTGCTCCCAGCCCACCTGCTCCAGGGTGAGGGTGAAGTTGGGGGGCTGCGCGGCCTGGCTGGCGTTTGTCAGCAAGTCCATTTGGCTCTGGCTGAGCAGGGAGATGGGGCCCACAGTGATGTTCATCTTCTCAAAGGCCGTGGAGATCTCTCCTGTGTACTGCCAGAATGAGGGGAGCCGTGATGGGACACGGTGCTGGCCCCACACTGTATCCCCACCACCAGCCCCACACCCACAGCTCTGACCCCAGACCCTGGCGCTCCCGCACTCACCTGGCTGATGTTCAAGAGCTCATCCAGGGACACGCTCTGGTCCAAGTGCAGTGTTTGCCACAGGGCAGCATCTTGCTGGCACTGCCTGCAGGATGGGGACATGGGGCTGAAATCAGGGAAGGCAGGGGCCACTACCCTCTCCCAGGAGTTGTGCCTTGCTCCTTCCCTGGCACCAGCACTTGCCAATGCAGCCCCCATCCGAGGGAGCATCTGAGGGTGCTGAGCAGTTGTACTCCTCCCCAAAGACACAGTGCCAGGGCTGGGACCCACCTGTAGATCTCCGAGAAGTTTGTTGTGCCACCCTCCAAGCCCAGCAGCTCTGACAAGTTAAAGCCAGGGATCAGGCCAGGGGTGTCCAGGATCTGAGAGGGGGGAAAAGATAGAGAACCTAGGTATGGTGGAGGGCAGGACGCCTGGGAGGAGCATCCCGAACCACACAGCAATGCCTCCACTGCACCAGCAGCCCTTGGAAAGACGGCAATGAGTCTGGGCAGGGGTGTCTCTGCATGGGGAGCTCACCTGGAAGAGCTGCTGGCTGCGCCAGGACTCGCAGACAAGCATGTAGGTATTCCCTCCTAGCACAAAGGTGATCGCCACCAGCAGCATCAGCAGCCAGGAGAAGATGAAGCTGAAGCCAACCCCTCTGCCGGGACAGAGACACTGTCAGCACCCAAGGCCCCACGCCCTGGTGTTGATGCTCTCCATTGCTAACAGAGCCTGGATCCTGCCCACCCCTTGCCCCACAGCAATGCCAGGAAGCATCATCATTCTCACAAGCACATCTCCACCCTGCCTTCAGCCCCCAGAGCATGGCCAGGCTGTAGCCTGGGGCGCAGACCCTGGCATAGCTTTTCAAGCCACCACTGACCTGCAGAGCTGCAGGACCCGACACACAGGGACACAGGTCCCTGACAGTGACGGCTGAACGGGCTCTGCTAGAACACCTTTCACCAGCACCATGTTTTATCCTTGCTTTTACCATCTGCACGGCGAATTACCATCATGCAGGCCATTAAGCCACAGTAACTTGATGATTTAAGAGCTTGCCAGCCAGCCCTGTCCACCCATCCCACCACTCCCACACGTCCTCAGCAGCCGAGGGAGCCTCACGCCATGAAGAAGTTCCCGCCGGCATTGGAGAGGCTGCTGCGCTGGGTGGGCAGCACATTTTCCTTCAGCCCCAGGGGCCCCAGCACCAGGCCAACAACATTGCAGAGGACCACCAGCAGCACCAGGCAGCACAGGAGGATGCACACACTCCACCTGGGGCAAGAGGAGGGGCAGAGGTCACAGCAGGACGTGGCACCCCGAGCAGTGCCCAGCATCCCACCAGCTAGGGAGGAAAAAGCCCCAAACATCCCAGCAGGGAAAGGGCATGGGTGGCTGCAAGGCACAGCTCTGGCCACCCTGCACCAAGCAAGCCCCCACCTCTGGAAACTGGAGGCGGCAGAGCCTGGGCCTCTCTGGACAAGGGAGCCAGGGGATGGCAGCATCCCCTCGCCTACCTGAGCCCATCCAAGGCAATGGTCGGTTCCCTGTACTCATTCAGCATCGACGTGGCATTGCCCACGAAGGCCCCAACACTCTCCTCCACGTTCGTGAGTGGCAACTGCTCCTGCAAGCTCCTGATCTCCTGCCTGATGTGGCCCAGCTCGGCCCGGGTCTCTGCAGGGGATGGGGACAGGTTGGTGCTGCAAGGTGCTGCCAGAGCCTGGGGCAGTGGGGAGCCAGAGGGACAGCCAGGGCTGCAGGCAGCAGAGTGGAGGCAGAGGGTGGGGGTGTCCAGACAGGGATGGGGCGAGAAGGGAGGGGAGAGCCCTGGGAGAGGGATAATTCAGCACACAGAGCACAGACCCCTGCTTACTCGTCACCACATCCTTGGACTCCTCTTGCACCTTGTCAGTAATTGTGTTCAGCGTGTTGTTAACCTGCATCCAGGAGGCACAGCATATAGGTCACATCCCTGCCTGCCACCCAGGGCTGAGCAGCACATCCCCTCCATCCCCAGATCCCAGTGGCACAGGGCAGCCAGGATCCCCCAGCACCCATCCACCACACCAGCACCCAAGGGTGATGGGACAGCAGGCAGGCTCTGGACAAGGCAGACCGCCAGCCAGCCCTTCCCTCTGTTGACAGCAATTTACTGCCATGAGGCTCTTCCCACTCCCTTGCAGCACAGCCCCAGCAGCACCCAGGCACAGGGGGACCCCCTTACCGTCTCCAAATCATGTGCTATGTTGGAGGCAGACACATTACCCAGTGCCTCCAGCTGCTGCTCCACGCTGGGGATCTGTGGGCAAAAGCCTGTGGTGAGTGGGGTTCGGGGGGCCGGAGGGATCCTCACCCCACACACTGCCCCTCCTCACCGTACTGAAGTTGGCGCTGAAGGCCAGGCCTTGCAGGGACACACTGCTTGTGGTGAGTGGGGTGCGGGGGGCCGGAGGGATCCTCACCCCACACACTGCCCCTCCTCACCGTACTGAAGTTGGCGCTGAAGGCCAGGCCTTGCAGGGACACACTGCTGCAGGGCTGGCCGCAGCGCTGCAGGGTCTGATTGAGCCCATGCTAAAAAAGCCAGCCGCTCGCTGTAGTTGCTCTGCAGAGCCTCGAGGTGCGAGCGACTGCTGGCAATGCTGCTGAAGGCGTCCAGCAGTGTCTTCATCTCTAGGGGGACAGCACAGGGCTCAGGGCCTCATACTGCCAGTCCTCACCCAGCTGAACCTCGGGACGCATCAAGTAATGCAACATAGGGGCACCCCCCAAAGCCCCAGTATTTGCCCCAGACTGCAGCTGGGAGGTCAGATGGATCCCCCCACTCCCTGCGAGCCTTACCCAAACAGGCACCTACCCCAGATCTCAGCCAGGGCATTCCCCCCAAGTCCCTTCCAAGGGATGGGGCCATTACCTTGCAAAAGGCTCTGGAGGGATGCCAGAGCCCCATCCGTGCCATTCCTGATGCCCAACATGATCATGCCACCCAGGTTGAGCCCAATGTCTGCAGAGATGGGAGAGAGTGTCAATGATGGGGTCTCAGGGCTTGCAGCTGACTCCCCCCCTTCCAGGACACTATCCCACTCCCATCACAGGCAGGGGACAGAGGGGACACCCCCACCCTGTCGCCACCAGCATCACCCTCCCCAGAGAGGAGCCTGGATAGGGAAAAGAAGCAGCTGGAGCAGAGCAGGAGCCTGGAGGAGCCCCCAAACCCACTCCCTTAAACATCCCCATGAGAGCAAGCCCAGCGGCCCCCAGAGCCAGCAAGCATCTGCAGGGCATCAAAGCACCCATGCAGCACCCCCAGCCCACCAGGGCAGCTCGCCATGGGTGCAGTGGGGATGATGCAGACCCCTTTGTTGCATGCCCTCACCCTGGAGGCTACGGTTGGCATGGCCCAGTGGCACGTCGCTGCTGTCGATGATATAGTTGATTTGCTGCAGGAACAGAGATGAGGTGTCAGTGAGGACCCTTCCTCAAAGGGGCTATTTGGGCTGCTGTCTCCCACCCCCGCCCCTTGCCCCCC